TTACCCAAATTGTTATAAAGTGACATTTGCCTTCAGGCAACCTAGAATCTTTTTAAGACATTAAGGAGTCATTTGGTTTTTCTCTTTTCTTTTTCAGGAAGGCTTATACACGAGTAATAGTTGTAGGTGTAAAGCAAAGGTGACAAGCCAGCTGGAAAAATGAGAAACCAAATGCTGTCACCTCTAGGCTTAAGCCAGGAAACACCCTTATTCCAAATGGTTGGAATCCTCATTCTAAAGAAAGGAATCAGGAAATCACATAATGGTTGCCTTAAATCAGGGTTTACATTCAAGAACCCAACTTTGAGGGAAAGTGTAGATTAAAGATGAAAAGAAAATTCTAATGCTATACTCCCTTTTGTGTTGTTGTTGTTGTTTGTTGTTTTTGTTTGTTTGATCCCAATCTTGAAAAGCATAGATATGTTGCTAGAAAGAAATCTAGACAGTCCTAAGTTAGAGTCTTTATAGCTAAAAGTGATCTCAGAAATCATCTCTCCTATCAGTTGAGGCCCGTAGCAAGTAAACAGTTAAATCAAGAATTCAGATTTCCCCATTCTTATTTCAATGTGCTCAATTTCATCCTCTAAGATGAAGGATACAAAGTCACATTAACCTTCTCAACATGACCCTTCAGAAATTTTCAGAAAATAGGAACCAATCAAATGTTATACACAGTCAATCCTCATTATGCACGGTAGTTATGTTCTACAAAGCTTCCATGAACAGTGAGTTAGCAAATACTAAAAAACCGCTTCTAGTGGACATATAGAGTTACGTTCCTCAAAGTCTCTGGTCATGGCATTTTTGTCTAGTGATCAATACATAACCTTGTTGTATTTGTGCTTACTTGTTTATTTGTGTCACCTTATTTAATATGTATTGTTGATTCATTAACAGTGAACTCATGTCCAGCAGCATTGTAACTCATGCCTGAACAAAGTTCATCTAACAAACCTATTTTCTCCATAAGGCAATTATAGCCTTCTTGTGTTACAATCACTAGACAACATTTCAACACTACACTTGGGGTCCATTTTAAACAGCTACCTCAGCAAACAAAAGCACAAAAATATGAAAAACATGATATTAAATAGACTAAAGAAGCTACTTGTTTACGGTATAAAAGGTAAAACAAAAAGGCAAAGCATAATCTTGTGTGACCTCAGCTGGGAACATGCACATCAGATGACTCACTTTTTTTTGCCATTCTGCACATGTCTGCAAATGATCACAAAAGCACTGCAACTACTGATTTTCGGGTAATAAATACATTTTAGTCAGTAGGTTAACTTGGAAATACAGAATCCATGAATAATAAGGGTCAACTCTACTATTATGAATGATTTAGTCTTACTTTCCTTCTGCTCAAAGAATCTTGGATAGCTATGGTACTGCCAGATTAAATTAATAATAAAATTGCTTCCTATAATCTTCCCTTTTAGAAAATGTTCATACTTATTGTATAACTTTTACCTGGGAAATTCTTAATACACACATCAGACGATACTGTTTTTTTCCTTTGTTATATAGACTGGTGGCCACTTATGTGGAAATATCAATGTTCAGTGAAAAGAGATATGAATAAAGCAATTACCTAATCTAGATATCAAAAGGCACTTTAAAAGTCTTCTGATATTGTTAAGTAAAAAATACAGAAAAGTAAACATGATATAATCTCAAAAGTGTTTTTAAAATAAGGAAAAATAGAAGAGTATATGCTGGAAAGTATTGAATTTGATAATCTATGTATGGGTCATGTATTCGCTTCAGATGATTTTTTTAAATGTAAGTATAGTTGATTTACTATGTTTCATGTGTACAGCAAAGTGATTCAGTTATACATACATACATATCTATTCTTTTTCAGGTTCTTTTCCATTATAGATTATTACAAGATATTGAATGTAGTTCCCTACGCTATACAGTAGCTCTTTATTATCTATTTTATAGATAGTAGTGTGTATCTGTTAATCCCAAATTCCTAATTTATCTTTCCCCTCTCTGCTGCAGATTATTTTAATTTTGCTCACTGCACTTTTCTACATCTTTGAAAAAGTTTCTCCAGAAAATACTTTGATTCAAAATTAAGAAAATCTTCCTCATTCACCTCCTTATTTCTCATTCCCTGTATCTGATTTTCTCACTTTATTCTCCTTCTTCTGCTTTTCTGTCTTCTCTATCTCTGGAAGCAGCCACTAGCATCATAGATGAATTTCCTACCATGCTGGCTTCGACTTAAACAAAAGCTTCCCTCCATGTTCTATGTCAGCATTTATTATTTGAGAGGCTACAAGGCTGAAAGAGTAATTACTATAGAAGACTAGAGATGAGAGGGGAGAGATATAAGAGGTGGTGATGGAGAAAGGCTTGCTCTGAAAGAGACCAGAGGGAACCAACCCAGAAGGCTCAGGAGTGCAGGTAGAAAGGTTAACCTTGAGATAGGAGGTGAGGTGGGGTACCCTTGAAACTGTAAGCAGAAGAGAGTCGGACCTTGACAGCCTTCACAGCCTGTACTTTTGCTGTTCTCTTCTGTAGAAGGCAAGATCATCTGTTTGTAGTTAAGCAGGGAGGAGTTTGGGTAAGGCCCTAGGAGCGTGATGAAGATCTAAAATAACAGATGCGAGAGAAATAAGCAAGACATCTATTCAAGATCAAGTGAAAAGAGTGCTGACTAGTGCTGAGGATCCAGCTGCAACTGGAAACCAATCATTCTGGCCATCTCTCTGCACAGTTAAACAGTGTTCTCTAGCCAGGTTAGCAAGTATGAGCAGATGGTCAATTTCTTCCCCTAGCCCCCATCCTCTCTTGTGTATTAGCACCTGAACTTTGCTTCCTTCCATCCCTAACCAACTTGAACTCCACATTCAATCACTTGTAATATTCAGGAGCCAATATCCTCAAACCCCTCCCTCTTTGTCTTTCTGTGGCTTCTGCTCTGCAACTCTTGGACCCTGGGTCCGTCAGAAGGAAGGATGAGAGTACTATATTAGATTGAACTTTATGCAATTTCTGTTTTTACAGGGCATAGATGACGCATGGCAGGAGAGTATTTACTAGTTTCAGGATGCCAAAAGGTTTTTTATCCCTGTTTGAGTGCTCTGAATGGACTGGAAGTCTCAAGCAGATTTGGGGCCCAGTTAATAGCTGCTGCTAGGGTCAGTCTATCTGGAGGCTTCAGCCTGAAGGAAGGAAAGTTCTCAAGCCTGATGAGGGCACTAGCAAAAAGCCTACTCTGAAATTTCATATTTTGTATTAGTTTTTCCTGGACAGGCACAAGTCAAGTTGTCAAGGATAAAAACAAAATTCCAAACAAGATGTTGGGAGAAGGGGCTTTGGGAGAAGCAGGTTAAAAAGAAAAGAAGAAAAATCTCACAATAATGTCATGATTAGAAAGGACAAATGTAAATTGTTTTAACTAGAATTAAAGGCAAAACATCAAAACAGATGTTTTCTCATTTTAGGCCCAGAGCTTCATTCTTCAAATCCTCTGTAAGTTCCCTAGCCATTCCTTATTTAAAAGTTTCATTTTATCCTCTCATCTGGGCCTGAAGTTGCAATAGGTAAATATGTAAAAATGTCTTGATTTAACTAAAACAGCCTTATTTGTGAAAGTTCTAGAAATTAGGAGACACTTGGGGTTGAAACTCTAATCAACTCCCTTTTATGCAGATGGTATGAACTGAAGAAATACCTCAAAATTCTTCAGATATTAGCTAAATTAACAACATGTTAATTAGCAATTGACATGTAGTATAGTTTTCAAGTAAGGACAAGGTAATCATATAAGAAATAATACTTTAACAGCAAACGCTTTAATAATATTAACAATGTCATTATCAACAACTTTCGCTAAGCCCCTTTGGATACGTAATTTGAAATAATTTTCTCAAATCCCTTGTGAGATTGGTTCCTTCTAATCAGGTAACTGAGGTTTGGGAGGTGGTCTGGCTCAAGGTCAACCAGCTACAAATTGTTAATTAGAACCTCAGTCAACTGACATTGAAGCCAGTGGCCACTGCCATCCCATTACACAGAGAGACACACTGGGCATCACTTTGGGTTGATAAACACATGATGGATCTTCCAAAAACAAGGATTTCACATTTAAGAAAAGAGGAAAAGTGTCCGGATGGGTATTTGAAGCCAGAGATATTTCTTCTTTCTCAGTACCATCATGAATAAAATCTAACTAAAATATCTGCACAGAAGTACAGCTAGAAAACTCACAGGTACCCTATTAATGTTGCAAAGAAGAAACTTTCAGTGAGAACTAGAAGAGGAGAAACCGTAGAATTAGCAGTCAGGGAACTAATGACAGACACAGCCTGTCTAATTTTCATGCAGGCAAACACCATCACAAACGCTTTCAAAGGTCAAGTTGCAGGGAGTGAGGTAATGCTGTTTGGGGAGTGAAATAAACATGACTTAGATTTTGTTCTGGGAAGGTTGTTTTTTTGCTTTTGTTTTCCTTTTCCCTTTTCTTTTTCTATGTGTTTCAGTTTTGAATTCCTACACTTTTAAATCAAAATTGTTTTCATCGCCCCCATTTTGCCTAGTCTCTGTGAAAAATATTTTATAGCTTTCCCTTGGTCCTGCAGATTTTCTCAAGCTCCTTCTGCTGGAGCAGACACTATTTTCTTACAACGCTAGAGATTTTAAGAGTGTGGAAAATGAGGTTGGAATTGATTTGGCAGAACCAAGGGGGCAGAGAAGGTAAGGGAGAGGAAAAGAAGGAAGGAAGGGTCTCATGTTCAAAATAATCTTGATTTCCAACCAATAACACTGCACAAGCTAAGCATTTTCATAGATAGTTTTAACCGTTTTACAAGATTTTTTTTCTCTCTCTTTCAGAATGTGCTTTCAACAGTCATGCTGTTTTCGGATGAACTGAAAGAAGCACTGTGTCCAGAAGGGACAAGGATGGACTACAGCATATGACTGGAGAGATACAAAAGATGCTTTATTTAAATGTGTTTGTCCTGGCAGATGCGGAAACCTACCTGTACATAATCCACACTTCGTCCCAGTGCTCTGAAAGCCGTGTACATGACTTCTCTTTTTCCACCCCATTTTTGCATGATGCAAATACTCTTGTTGGACAAGACCAACTGGGTGACATGTTGTGAGCTTTCTTTATGTGACTCATCCGTCTCACCAGGACCTTTCACGTGAAAGTTGTTTTTCCAGATATAAGTGGCTGATTTATCCCTGCCCATGACTTCGCTGAAGATGTCCATCATATAAAGGTCATCTTCCGAGTTTCCATCTATGACCATAACAACTTTAATTCCAGGGTAGGTTAGCCTTTTCACAGATTGCAAACATTTCCGTAAGTAGTCTGGATCTTCTTGATACGCAGCAATGCAAAGAGCAACAGTTTTGTTCAACTTAATGGGGGTTTCTAGAGATTTTTTCATTTTTCGGTGCTCCAAAAAGGCAAACAGGCTTTGGATGATGAGGTGTGATGCTAAAAAGGCACCATATAGTCCAAAAGAGAAATAGTAATTATCTGTTTGGATAAATTGGTAGCCAACAATATAAGCAGCTGTGATTCCAAGGAGTAGAGAAACTCCAAAAAGTGTGGTTCCAATTATTCTCAGGATACATAGAAACCTCTCACAATGCATCTGTAAAATAATCACATGATATACTTGGTTAGCCACTCTTGTCCCATACTTGTTATATACATGGTATCACAGGGAGAGCATTGGACTAGAAGCATTCCGGGTGTTCTAACCTTGAGTTTCTCACTTAACTAGTTGTATGACTTTCTGCATCTCAGTTTGCTCATCTGCAAAACAGGGATAAGGATGCCTCTCTGCATACCTCAGAGAACTCTTTCAAACATCAAATGAGAGGATGATGCAGTGTACTATTGAAAACCGTAATGCACATATGCATTATTTTTAGTACGTTAGATCATTTGTCTAAGGATGCACTCTATGTATGTGGTCATAGCTAAGCATAAAATCTAAATATTTTAGTGAGCCAGGCACTCTTTCTTCTTGTGCCATCGTGTTCCCTCACCCCAATACTGACCAGTGAAAAATCTACAGGTTTTGCTAAATTTCTTGTGTGTAGTTTTTTTTTTTTAATACATTTATTTATTTTATTTATTTATTTTTGGCTGTGTTGGGTCTTCGTTGCTGCGCACGGGCTTTCTCTACTTGTGGCTCACGGGCTCTAGAGCGCCAGCTCAGTAGTCGTGGCGCACAGGCTTAGGTGCTCTGTGGCATGTGGGATCTTCCCGGACCAGGGCTCGAACCCGTGTCCCCTGCACTGGCAGGCGGATTCTTAACCACTGCGCCACCAGGGAAGTCCCTCTCATGTGTAGTTTTATCTCATCTCCAGTGGAAATCCCTCAGCTCACACCTTGCCCATGCAGCTAGCCAAGGTTGAACGTAAGGATACGTGGATTCTATCCTTCTAGGTCTTCCATCAACTAGCTGTGTGACTTCGAGCCAGTTGCTTTTCCTCTCTGGGCCTTAGTCTTTAAAAATCTGTTAAATGAGGGCATTTAGACTCAATTATTTCCCAAGTCTCTGTTACCATTAAAATTTCTTTATGCATAGACATCCTACACAGACATTTATCAAAGCCCCTGAAATTCTGTATTACATTTCTTTGTTCAAATGGCTGTCTCCCTCATCCACTATTAATACCAGCTGGTTCGAACCTGGTGATCAGAAACTTTACTGGAATATAGTAAGAGCACAATAAATGTTTGCAGAAATAAATCATACAATTAGAGAAGAAATAGCATCATGCTTAATTTCAACAGGTAAATTTTCTTTTGTCTTAAGAGCTTTAACACATTAGACCTAAAAACACATTCCAGTTCTTAATAATATACAATTTTGTACACATCCCTAGCCTTTGTGAATCTCCTGAAATATTTTGAACTAGAGTACAGGAGGATCATATATTTCGTATTTCTCAAAGCATCTCCAATTATGAGCATAGAAGAGGTGCTTGGTAGACCTTTAAAATTTGTTTCTTTTTGGTTTCCTAGACCCAGTTCCAACATGTGGAGGAGAGAGGGTTTCCTACACATGTCACAAACAATGCTGTGGACACCTGCTGGGTGCCTGACAATTCAATGTTGATATCATATGCCTGACAGAATCAGATTCCACAGGTTAAGAGTTCAGCCCTACAAGACTGCCCCCCACAAACACCCACACTTCAGATGCCAGTTGCAAGCCCAGGTTGTTACCTGTAATTACGATAAACTGGGTAAAAATCAGAGGTTCACAAGATCCCCTCATGTGTTCAATTAATTTGCTAGAAGGAACTCACAGAACCAGGAAACCTGTTCACTCATTAGATTACTGGTTTATTATAAAAGGATGTAACTCAGGAACAGCCAGATGCACAGGGCAAGGTATGGGGAAAGGGCGTGGAGTTCCAGGCCCCACTCTCCCCAAATCTCCACATGTTCATCGATCCATAAGCTCTCTGAACCCTCTCCTTTGGGGTTTTTAGAGACTCCATTACATAGGCATGATTGATTATATCATTGACCATTGGCAACTGAACTCAATCTCCAGCCTGTCTTCCCTCCTCAATGGTCTGGGCAGGGAAATGGAAGTTCCAACCCTCTAATCATGTTTGGCTCTACTGGCAGCCAGCCTCAACCAGATGCATTCCAAAAGTCACCTCATGAGCATAACGAAAGACATCTCTAAATTTGCAAGTAACTCCAATTTAATCTTTTCCCTTAATTCAACTAATTTTTGAAAGCTAAGTAAATTTATTTTCAAAGTTACTTTGGGCTAAGCAATTACCTCTGCAAAATTTCTTATTGGATATGCTATTTATATTTTCCTATTCCACATTAAGACTTAAAATTGAATGTTGAGGGCTTCTCTGGTGGCGCAGTGGTTGAGAGTCCGCCTGCCGATGCAGGGGACGCGGGTTCGTGCCCCGGTCCGGGAAGATCCCACATGCCGCGGAGCGGCTGGGCCCGTGAGCCACGGCCGCTGAGCCTGCGCGTCCGGAGCCTGTGCTCCGCAACGGGAGAGGCCACAACAGTGAGAGGCCCGCATACCGCAAAAAAAAAAAAAAAAAAAAAAAAAAAATTGAATGTTGACATAAAACCTATTAACATCTTGGTTTACTAGCTGTGTGACCATCACATCACTCAGCTCCAAGTGCCACCATTCACATTCTAGCCCCTGTGATCATCACTGAGGTGGTCCTGAGTGGATATGCATTACACTTTAGGGTAGCTTACTGTGACTGCTCACCAATTGTGTTTCCACTCCTTCTGAGCAGACTGCTTGATGTGGCCATGGCATTCCAGCCTTTGTTAATCTGAGACGTGCCACTTCCAATAGGGCTTTTAAGGGGGGAGAATGGGCCTCCTGCAATATCTCTTTTCCCTCCACAGTCTTGATGTACATATCAACAGGTCCTAAGGGATTGCAGAGCCCAAAGACAGAGGGAGCTTGGTCCTTGAACTGCCACATGGAAGTTAGCCAGCCACCAATGCCACCAATCAGGTATACCTGCCTTGGACTCTTATGTTAACAAGAAATAATTTTTGAGTTTGTTTTTGTTTGTGTGCCCATTACTCATTTTGGGTTTAGTTTCCCAAACTCATTACAATCTAAGTAATGCAGAGCAGGCTGGAGACCAGGGTTTGAGCTTGTGGACATTATTTTTCTTTGTGAAATGGAGATGATGGTACTTGTCAACAACCCTTCACAGGGCTACAGTGAGGAGCAAAATCAAAGTGTTTGTGAAACTGTTTTTAAAAAATCAGAAACACAATACAAAGTATCAGCTAACATGGAAGCTAAAAAAACAAAGCAAAACAAAAACCAAATGTGCGTTCCACTTTTAGCACGTATATAGGATTTCATAGAATGCAACAAGTACCCTGATAAAGGTAATCACAACACAAATGGAAAGTTCAAGCTGCTGGGCAATGGTGAAATGCTCAGTTTTCAGTGAAAGGCAAGAGAGCACAGCATCCCTTGTTAATTAAAACTGCTGATCGGATGCTGAAAACTCACAAAGTGTACATGAACTAATGCCTAAAGGTTCTGGGAGCACCAGACTAGGAACTTGTCTTTTCCAAGACATGAGTCATTCTCCCAAGAGTGAAAAATTTCAAGGCGACTAAAACTCTCTGCCTGGGCGAAGCTTAAAAGTGTGTTCTGCTTGTGTTTCAAATCAGCATAGCCAGCAAGAGAACCGCCTGCCATCCTTTTCCATTATTCACATTTTCCTTGCTTTTATCAGCACGTGTGGACGCAGAGAGTGTTCGCATAGCATCTGCTGGCCACTGCTGAAGTGGGAACACCCTCTTACATCATAGGAGTCTACAGAATGTCCTTTTTCAGCCTGGGAAAAGTTGCTAGTAAACTGCAGCAACAGAACCTTTCTGTTTCTGCAAGGTATCGCGTTGTTGCCTAGCACGACACATGTAGCATCTCAGTACAGGCCAAAGGGTTAAAGAGCCAGCTGCATTGAGGGAATAGATTGATCTCAGGGACTGACGCACAGGATGTTTCTTTATAATTTCAGAGATATGGGCACCATATGTGTGAGACTTTCTGAGACAATCCCCAATTCAAATACTCTGTTCCATAAGCAAACCCTCCTTCTCAGACATATGGTTTATTCCTAAATTGGAAAATATGGTTAGTTTCACCCTAGATCATTTGCTGATAGAAGACTTGGAAATCTACCTCCCATAAAGAGTGAAAATATAAAACTTGGATTTTTTTTGCCCAGGATTAGACTTTAGTTTATTAATTGATTTTTAAGTTGCTCTTGGACTTGATACCAATTATTCACCAAGGACTAGTCTTCACAGAATTCTAGGCCAAACCAAGTGTTAAAGGATAGCTTGGTGCACCTTAATGTAAACTCCACAAAATCAACAGATTATATATATATTTTTTTCACTAATGTGCCCCAGGGACATGGAACATTGCCTGGGTTATGGTTGGTATTCAGGAAATATTTGCTGAATGATAGATGTGACTTTATTCCTAAATATCATCATTGGCATCATTGTTATGTCAGCTAACTTTCTTTCATCATTTACTAGGCAACAGGCATTTAAGCAAGTTTTGCTTACTTGAATAGCAAAATCCTATTTAATTTTAATAACTTTAGGTGATAAATATACTGTTAATCTCATGTTACAATTCACATATGCATATGACGAGGCAACCAAGACTGAGTATTTAGGTAACTTACTCCGAATCACACAACCAGGAATAGGGTTCACATGGTGGCATAATGCCAGGTGACTAGACTGTCCTCAGTAAATAAATATTGGCTGAACAGATTTGAACCTTCATGACAAAATAGTCAACACCCTTTTGTTTCTGATTAATAAACATTTTGTGTAAGGAAAGATTAGAAAAGAACGTTGAAAACTGTTTTCCTGCTGTAATGGAAAAATGGATATCATGTACTCAGGTACAGATACAACACCAGCCAGTACTCAGAGAAGATTGCTGGGGTCCTATACCTTCTACGTGCATACAGTCAAAAGGGACCTGGAATGATGTTGTCCAAAAGGGAGCTGGCTGGTGGTTCCACCTACATGGCAGCAGTGATGCTCTTAATGCCAACAGTCAAAATCCTGTTTAACCATAAGACAGGC